TAACTACACGATGCGGTCCCTGGGCTCGGTGCGCGCTGACGCGTCTTTCGGCGGCTCCTGGATATCGCCGAACCCGAGGTTCTTCATGTCGTCGCGTTCCATCAGGTCGCTGCGTGAGTGGCCGTGCGCACGTACTTGTCCATGCGGCACTGCAGGTACTTTTTGCTCAGGTGCCGACACGCGCCGTTGTCGTTCTTGTTGGCCTTCAGGCACTGCAGGTACTCTTTCATGACATCCTTACAGTCCCCGTAGTGGTCGAGCGGGAACGAGCCGCGCTCCGGGGGCAGCACCTGGAACATGGAAAACGTCGGCGGCCGTCCAAACGACATGGCGGAAGTGGAGGCTCTGTGCCACGATGCGGAGCCAGGGTGGGGCGCGGTCGGCGCCGCTCGACGGCGTCGTGCTCGAGACGGGCGCGTCGCATGTGCGCCTCGGCACGATCCCGATGCACAGCGGGGCCTTGCCGTACCTCGCGCGGCACCCCAACGCCATCGCACGCACGCGCCCAGGCGTACGGCGCCAGGTGCTGGTCGGCAACGAGATCGAAGACGCGTGCCTCGACTATGGCGGCCTGCAGCTGCGCCTGCCCATCGACCGCGGCATGGTCGTCGACTGGGCCGCACAGAAGGCCGTGTGGGACCGCGCACTTGCGGAGCGCTTCGGCAAAAAGGGCGCGTCGTACGACTCGTTCGGCGCGCTGCAGGGGCGGACGGTGGTGGTGACCGAGCCCTACTTTGCGCTGCCCGAGCAGCAGCGCGCATTCGATATGCTGCTCTTTGACTGGTACCAAGCGGCGGCGATTTGGCGCACCATCCCCGCGCAGCTCGTGCCCTTTGCCGACCCGCGGCGCGCCGAATGCGTGCTGGTGGTCGACTGTGGCCAGAGTTACACCCATGCAGTGCCGATCGTGCGCGACGAGGTGCAGTGGCATGCCGTCAAGCGCCTCGACATGGGCGGCAAGATGCTCACCAACCTGCTAAAGGAGTCGTTCTCGTACAAACAGTGGAACATGATGGACGAGACGTTCCTCACTGACAAGATGAAGGCCGTCGCGTGCTTTGTCGCTGCGTCGGCCAGCGACCTGGGCCCGCGCAATGCCGCCGACCCCCCACACGAATGGAGCTTTGCGCGCCTGGTCGACTACTTCCACGAGACCGACCACAACAAGATGGTGCAGTACTATGTGCTCCCCGACTATGCGCAGCCCGAGGACGTGGCCGACCCCAAGACCAAGTTTGGCTACGTTGTCGCGGGCCCCGGCAGCATCGGCCGGACATACCCCACGCCGGAGTCGGAGGCCGAGGAGATCGACACATTCATGGTCGGCGACGGCTCAACCGACGACCCACCGGCGCCGAGCGATAGCCAAATGCTGCGGCTCGCGCAGGAGCGTTTCCAGCTGATGGAGCTGCTCTTTGCGCCGCAGCGGATCGGTACGTCGTCCTACTGATCCCGCAGGACTGGAGCAGGGCTCCCTGTCTGAGCTTGTCGCCGCGGCGATCCGCGGCGTCCCGGAAGAGTACCAGGAGCTGATGTGGGGCAACGTCGTGCTGGTGGGCGGCACGGCCGGGGCCAAAGGCCTCCGGCGTCGGCTGTACGTAAACGCGACTCACGCAGTGCCTATGAGCTACGGATGCTGGCGCCTGCAGACGTGCCCGTGGACGTGCGCCTCGCTGCCGACCCCGTGATCGCACCGACGCTCGGGGCGCTGGCCTTGCTGCAGGCGCCCGCCGACACGCCCGAGGGCCAGTTCTTTGCGCGGCATTTGGTCACGCGCGAGGCGTATTTGAAAAACGGGGGCAGCTCCTCGACGCCCGGCGAGCGCGGGGGCAGTGTCCTGGGCGACGCGCGATTCGGCGACTGGAATGCGGTGCCCTCGTAAAAAAGGGGACGCCACACCCGATGTCCCACAACGCTCGGGCCACACGTAGTAATCAAGATCGGTCACATTCTCCGCGGGGTTGCCCGAAATGGCAACTGGCGCAGGACGTGCGCCGTGGGCTATGGCTACATACTTAGTAGACGCCCGACTTGGCGATCTTGATCTGGCTCTTGGGCTTGCCGCTGCCGGTTCCCTCAGCCTCGATGGCCTTGACGACGTCCATGCCGTCGACGACCTCGCCGAAGACAACGTGCTTACCGTCGAGCTGCGGTTAGTACAGGTGTGCATGCGTGTGTGCGTACCCAAGGGGTCACCACGGTGGTGATGAACTGTGGCAGTGTTAGTCTCCATACATCCACACAGGATACGTACGAACTGCGAGCCGTTCGTGTTCGGGCCGGCGTTGGCCATCGAGAGCAGACCAGGCTTGTTGTGCTTGAGGTTGAAGTTCTCGTCAGCGAACTTCTGGCCGTAGATCGACTTGCCGCCCGTGCCGTTGCCGGCGGTGAAGTCACCGCCCTGGAGCATGAAGTCGGGGATCACACGGTGGAAGTTGGAGCCCTCGTAGCCGAAGCCCTTCTCGCCGGTGGCGAGTGCACGGAAGTTGGCCGCGGTCTTGGGCACAACACTGGGTCAGACCAAAACACCTACTCGTCAAAGAGCTTGAACTTGATGGTGCCGAGGGGCGAGCCGTTCTTGGTGATGTCAAAGAAAACGTTGGACATGGTCAGGGAAGTAGCTGCGAATCGACGGGCAAACGTAGGCGCAAAGGCCATTTGGCTGTTAGGCGTGAGAACAACACAGGTGCCTTGGGGGACACCAACACTTACACGATGGTTCGTTGAACTTTCGCACGGAGCGCACCGTTTTCCTTATATAGTGCCAGCGCAACGCACTTTTTAGTCCGTGCGCCAAAGCACGGCGCCGCCCCACGTTGTCGGCTCCGTGTGCAGGCTTCTATCGGCTTCGGTGATCAGCACGCGGCAGGCACATGGGCGCCGCCCACGTGGGACGTGCCCGAGGGGCCGCGGACGGCTTCTCCACATCGCAGCAGCATGCCCCTGGGTCGCTCGTCGAAAGCGGGTCACGGCGCGCACAGCGACGCGCAAGACGCAGAGGCGGCTGCCGAAGCAACGCATCATACAGAGGGTCGCACCGGCTTCAACCTCAGCTTCGGGCGTGGGTCCATCTCGAGTGGGCGCCAGGAACGGGGCGACTCCGCCGCATCCAAGTCGCATGCCAAGGATGCGGGGCACGGGCGGCGACCCCACACCACCATTGACGTCGTCCGTCCGGAAGAGATCCGCGCAGCGCATTCCATCGAGGCGGCAAGCTTCCCGCGTGAGGAAGTTACCCAGCTCTCTCAACTCATGTACGTATCTCTCCGGCGCCGCTAACCCCACAGCAAGCGGCACGAGCAGGCGCCCCAGTTCTTCCTGGGCGCATTCCAGCACCTCCCACCCCCGATGGTCGCTGGGCCGCTCTCTGGCGAGACGCGCCGCCGGCTCGTGGGCTTCTGCACGGCAACCGTCTCGCCGGCAGCCATTACTCAGAGCATGTATGGGAGCACCAACTCGGAGCTGGCGCATGTCGTGTGCATCCACGACTTTTGCGTCGAGCGCAGCAGCCGGCGCCAGGGCATCGGCCAGCGGCTCATGCGCAAGCTGTTGGGTCGCATCGAGGCCGGCTACTCCGGCGAGGGCAAGCCGCTGCGCCATCAGTTTGAGCGAGTGACTATCGTCACGCCGCCGAAGCGCATGTCGTTCTTCATGAAGTGCGGTTTCAAGATCCACGGGCCGAGCTACATTGCCAAGAGTTGCGAGCCGTGGGTCGAGATGCGCTACACGGTCGAGTCGAGCTCCGAGGTCCAGCGCGAAGACCTCTCTGCGTCGTTGGTGGAGCAAGTCGACGACTCCATTTCGCCAACCATGATCCCGGAGCGCGCGTTTTCGACGTCGGACCACCCCAGCGAGCATAGCGCGTCGGGGCCGGGCAGCGCCGACCACTCGGGCTCCGCCGCCTGGGGCATGGGCAGCTTTTCGCTGTCGCCCATCGAGGCGCCGGCGCTGCAGAGCGACCAGGTGCTGGCCGCGCTCCTGGCACAGAACAGCCTGTCTGAGGGCGCTGCGCGTGACCTGGGTCTGCCGATCCGCCCCACCGAGAACACACCCGCACCCACGCAGCCGCAGCCTCAAAACCCGGGCAAGCTCCTTTCCTCGGTGTTTGGGCAGGCGGTCGCGGCCAAGACTGCGGCCGAGGACTCGCTCGCGGCGCTCAAGGCACGCATCGTGTCGCGTGCGGGCGGACGCAACCTGTGCCGGCTGTTTTGTCCGAACGAGCACTGCCACTGCGTGATTGCGGGCCGCCAGGCCGCGACGTGGCAGACCAAGGAGATGGGACCTTTGTCGGAGAAGGACGCGGTCGCAGTCGACTCGGAGCTCATCCTGCTCGACCACACATCCAAGTCCACGCCGCTGCTCAATGCCGAGATCCAGATGCGCCTGCCTGGCAGCGAGCAGAGCACGATTGGGCCTGTCCGGGCGTTCTGGGTGCTAACTGGGCCGATGCAGTTTGACAATGTGTCCTTCTCGAAGAACGCGGTGTGGAAGGTGCCGGAGCCGTCGCCCAACAGCCAGGAGGCGGCGCGCTCCCTGCCGAACGGTTCCGAGGCCGCGGGATGGTCCGGCCGGCGCCCCGAGCCTCGGTCGCAGTCGACGTTCGCGACGCGGATAAACTCGACGCAGTCGACGCTTTCCAAGTCGGACGAAACGAGCGACAGCTCCATGCCAGCGAGGGGAAAGGATTCGTACACTTTGGGCCTGACACCGGGGGAGGAACGTATCGTGAAGTACATCCTGTGCCCCGACTGTGGATGTGGTCCGCTGGGCTTCATGATTCTGCCCGTGGGTGCGTCCTCGGAGCAGGCGGCGCAAAAGGGGTACTCGGACATTACCTGCTACCTTGCTGCCTACCGTGTCCGCTACGAACTCTAAAGCTCCATAGTCCCCCCACCACGCTGTACCACTACCACCGCCGCGCGTCTTCGGGGGCGCCGGCCCGGGCAACGGGCCTTGCTGCATATTCTAGTATGTACGTAGGCCGGCTGCCTACAACGACCGGGCGCATGGTCTAGAGGTATGATTCTTCTTTAGGGCTTGGCTTCTGCCGAAGATCCATAGAAGAGGTCCTGGGTTCGATTCCCAGTGCGCCCCCATTTTAACAGCTCCTCGGGCGCATGGTCTAGAGGTATGATTCTTCTTTAGGGCTGGATTCGACCAGAACGTAGAAGAGGTCCTGGGTTCGATTCCCAGTGCGCCCCTAGCTGTTATTTTTGCTTTTATTTTGTTCTATTTTGCAGTGTTGATGCGCGGCACGCGCTACACTGGTTCGAAGCCGCCGCGGGCGAGGATGTGGATGATGGATTCGTCGACATTCCGCTATGTATGGTTATGTAGGGCCCATTCTTCGCAGAGAGGCCGTGTTAGTATGTCAACTACTCGGCCTTGCCCTCTTTTTCCGACTCGGCAATCTCGATCTCCTCCTCCTCCTCGCGCGAATCGCCGTAGACACCGCGAAGCGCACTACACGTCAGTGACCCAAGCAACGTACCGGAACAGGATGCGCCACATGAGCACATACCAAAACAGGTTGAGCAGCAGCAGCAGCAGCAGAGGAGCAAACACCTGGGCGTCAGTTTGGCTGCGAGCACGTACGTGGCATTGCATCCACCAGACAAGCCAGTGGCCCTGTGACGGGTGGAAGGTGCGTGCATATGCAGGAATGCGGTGGTAGTCAACGTACACGGAGCGCAGCGTGAGCGCACTCAGGTAAATACGGAAGTAAGACCAGACCACCATAAAGATGGAGTAGACAATGCCCGCCATCAGGTTCATGTCCAGGTAGTTGAACATCTTGGAGAGCTGGAATGAGCCACAATGTACGCACCGCCAGCCAGGTATCCGGGATGTCCATGCAGACAAACACGGTGGTGCCGATCATGGTCAGGTTGATGAAGTACGACCATCCAATCAACCACAGCGTGACGAGGTGCTGCGTGAGGCGGCGAAACGTACGTGCGCAATCAGCTCGTAGTAGTCTTTGCGCGGCCGCTCGAGGCCCAGAAGCATGACAAACGCCTGCTGCATCCAGTAGCTACCCTGGAGCAAGTAGTACAGCTTGAGCTCCGGGCGCATCACCCAGTGCGGGTACTCTGCGGTGAGAAGCAAGGCACGTACGGTACCACAGATGGTCCAAGTCTGGGTGAGGGCGACGAATACGTACTGTACCACCAGCTGTCCTGGAAAGACATCACATAGAGGCCGAAGATGCCGGCAATGCCCCAGTACGTCAGTGCATAGCCCTGCTCGGCGAACCGGGTCTGCTTCTGCTCCGCCCGAATCCCCCAGCGCTTCGCCAGCGGCTTGAAGACGTGCATCGTGAGCACCTGGCGCAAGAAGCTAAAAACCACAATAAAGTACGCGATGAAGCACAAGTCCAGCCATCCCTTGCCGAAGCGGAGAAAGCGGGGCTCGTGCGGAAACAGCGTGTGGTGCACACCCTGGAAGAAGCTGCGCATGGTGTCGAGCACCACATTGCCCTGCGAGTACGTCGGAGCAGGGCCGTACAGACGGAAGGAGGCCTCCTTCAGGACCACCTCGGACTCAGGCAGCCTGTACGACAAGAAGAGGAACGGCCGGAAGGGATTCCAAGCGACCGGCACCAGGTGTTCCCACAGCCAGTAGGCGGCGATGAACATCAGGGCGACTTTCGCGGCCGACTTGGGAGAAACGAGCCAGCGTCCCGTGTATACGTCCCTCAAGAACGTAGGTTCGGTGCGCCTTTTCCCCGCAGCGACGCTCAGATCCTGCCTCATGGTGTTCGAGTTATTTTGTCCGCTCCACAACTTTTCCAGCAAATCGGGCGCCCCTAAGGCCGCACCGCGTTTCAATTGTTCGCGATCGGGCCCTATCGTCGATCATGGCCCAACATTCGGCGGAGGCGACCTCGTCGCCGAAGGGCGCGCCTGGGCCACCTCCTGGGCCGCCACCACCACCGCCGCGGCCACCGCCTCAGCTCAAGCATACCCAGGCGCCACCTCCGGCATTTCCGAAAGGCCCGATCCCTGTTCCGCCACCTGGCTGGACGGCGCTGGACGAGGAAGAAGGTACGTTTGTTCGCGCGATCTGACCCACAGCCGAGGAGCGCGCCAAGACACCGCAGCAGCGCGAGATTGACCGCGTGGTGCTGGGCTCGTTCCGGCTCAACCCCTTCGATGTCCTGGGTGTGACGCCCGACATGGACGACAAAACCATCCAAAAGGTTTTCCGTAAGAAGAGTTTGCTAATTCACCCAGACAAGGTGAGCGAGAATTACCAGGATCGTGCACAGGAAGCGTTCCAGCTGTTCAAGCAAGCGCTCGACCATTTGCAAGATCCTGATCGCCGCCAGTCACTGAACGAAATTTCGCGTTCTGGGCGCTCGCTCGCCTTGCGCGAGCTTGGCTTGCCCTTTAGTCTCACCGAAGAGCAGCTCAAGAAGGAGCAGGAGCCCGGAGGCCGCCTGCATGACCTGAAGCCGACGTTCCCCGAGCGGATTGTGCACTGCACGAACCACCTGATGCGGGAGGACGAGCTGTACCGCCGCAACCGTGTGCGGCTCAAGCAGGAGGCCGAAGAAGAGGCGCGCAAGCTCCGTGAGGAGGCTGAGGCGCAGCGCAAGCGCAAGGCGGAGCTCGAGACGGCATGGGAAAATGCGCGCGACAACCGTGTCGAGGGGTGGCGCAGTTTCCAAAAGGGGAAGAAGAAGAAGAAGAAGATGGACGTACTCGGATAGTCCCATTGTATACTACACTACTTTCCACGCTGCTGGCTATAGACGCTGGCCAGCTCGGTCAGCGCCTCTTTGTAGCTCGGGAGGAACGGCTCATACTCGGCGGGCTTCACCTTGACCGTCTGCACGGCGTCGAGATGGTGCGCCTCGCGAAGCATGCGTTTGAAGTGGAACACCTCTTGCTCTTCCACCAAGCTCCAGGCGTTGCCCGAGCGCCCCGCGCGCGCTGTGCGCCCGACACGGTGGACGTACTTGGCCATGTCGACGGGCACGTCGTACGAGATGACGTTGCGCACCTCGGGCAGGTCAATTCCGCGCGCGATCAGGTCCGAGCACACCAGCACGTCGACCTCGCCCTGCTGGAACCGGCGCAGCATCTGTGCGCGTTCCGCGTTGGTCAGGTCGCTCGAGTAGTACTGCACACACAGTGCCTGGTCCGGGGCGAAGCGCTTCTCAAAGAAGGAGAGCAGACGCACCAGGCGGTTCGCCGACTCGACACTCTTGGTGAAGCACAGGGCATGGCGCACCTGGTGGTGCGAGTGCAAGAGGTAGAGCAAGATGAGCACCTTGGTGCTCGTCTCGGTCACGATCATGTGCTCGTGGAGGCCCGCGGGGAGCGCAAAGCGGTCCACATACAGTTCGTCGTCCTCGGCGCGATCGCGCACGCTCACATAGTGCGGGTTGCGCAGCTGCAGCGCATTCATCTTGGCCGGGTCGCGCGTCAGCGTCGCGGAGAAGAGCAGTTTCTGGACCGTGGGCACGGGCGTGTCCAGATCGTCGTGCATCCACCCGGGCGTCTGCGTCTGCAGCGAGGCAGGGGCCGACGACGCCTGCTCGCTGGGCTGTGGTCGGAGCGCATCGAGCAGCGTCGGCACCCACTGCTGAAACGACTGCCCCAGCAAGCGGTCTGCCTCGTCGATCACGAGGAAGCGCAGATGCTGCAGCGTAAAACCTGGCGTACCGCGCACATGGTCCACCAGGCGGCCGGGCGTTGCGATAAGCACGTCGATGTTGCTGCTGAACCCGGCAGGGCCGCTGCTGACCAGCTGCGCCTGCTCGTGCCGGAAGCTGTGGTTGCCGGTGATGACGAGCGAGCGCAGTCCGCTGCCCCGGCCCACTGCTTCGAACATCTCGGCGACTTGCACGGCCAGGTCGCGCGTCGGGAGCAGCACGAGCGCACGGAGCTGCGTCACGGTGCGCGTTTGGAGCAGCTCGACGATCGGGACGGTGTAGGCGAGCGTTTTGCCGCTGCCCGTAGGCGCCGAAATGCACAAATCACGCGGCGGATTGAATGGCATGTACAGGCGACTCTCGGTGTGCTGACTGAGAAGCAGCGGGATCACCGACGCCTGCACCGCGAACCACTCCGAGATGCCGAGCCGGTCGAGCTGGCGCTTGATGGAGCGGCTCACGAGCACGCCCATGTGCTCGGTTGTGCCGTGGTCCTGGGTATCAAGGGATTGCGTGTGGCTCGCATCGACGAGTGTAGGCCGCTCCAAGCCCTGGGGCAGCCCCAAGGACGCGAGCTGCTGTGCATCGCTCGCGCTCGTCTGCTGCGGCCGCGGAAACCGAAAGAGATACTGCGGCTCGGCGTCGTCCTGCGCTTCCTCTGGCTCTGCGGTCGAGGTAGGCTGCAGCGGGTCGGCGTCGATCGCGTCGGTGGATGGGGACGCGGCGCGTGCACGATCCGCGATGGACTCGCTCGCTGCGCTGCTGCTCGCATCGCTCGAACTCGACTCGCTGTCGCTCGCGTCGCTGCTCGTGGTATCGGAAGTGCTCTCGGTATCGCTCGAGCTCTCGCTCGAGCTCTCTTCGTCCTGTGTGTCCTGGCTGGCTGCGTGCGTGTCCAGCTCCATAGCCTCGGACGGTTGGGAGGCCTTCTTGGGCTTGGCCTTTTTCTTGCCCTCGCCGAACGGCTTGGGCCCCGCGGCCTTTTTCGCCTTACGGCGTACCTTTTTCGCTTTGAGATAGCGCTGCTTCGCCTTGGTCTTTCCCTTGGCCGGACGAGCCGGCGCGGCGCGCGCGGGCTGGGTGACGGCCATGCTTCGTGGGCGCGCTCGCAACGTGCGCAGAGAAATTCGCGAGGTGGAGGTCGTGCGGCTGACAAAAGGCCGGCCATCGTCCTACGGCGAATCTCCCTGTCCCTACCTTCCTCGAGCTGTGCGCGTGCGCTGCTAGGCTAGATCGTGCGGCACCATGTCGGACTTGTCGCGGGTGATGAGCAACCGTGAGTACGACACGTTCCTGAAGGAGCGCAAGGCGGAGGCGTTCAAGCGGTGTGATCCGATCGTGCAAGGTGCGTCGCGTGTAGCTGACCGCAGAGTTTGTCGAGTGCACGCGGAACCGGTTTCTCTCGGTGGCCTGGGCGTGTCGCCAGCAGAAC